GAACAGCTCTGCCTGCAGTTCTGATGGCAGCAGTACCTGCTCTTGTGCAGAGAACAAGTAAAGGAAGTTTTTGGGGGTTTTTTGTTTGTTTGTTTGGTTTTTTTTTGTGCACAGGGGTATTCAGGCTAGCAGAACAATTATGGACTGTTCAGAGGGTTGCTGCAGAATTCGAGTGGCATCAGACTTGACTGGTGAATGCTCACTTTTTTTCCTCAAAATGAACTTTTCCACCTTAAGCAAAGCCTGAATCAGATTTCTAGTCATCGTATGTAGCTAGAACTGTCTATTTTGGAGCAGCCTAAATGCTGGTTGTGAAAGTGATTAATTCTCTGCTTGTTTGTTACTACAGTGAAGTTTGTTGTCTAAAGCAGTATGTTCAGCTGTTACTTTCGCAGGTGTCAGAATATTAATTTTGAGTTTGTTCTCTGTTCCAGGTGATTACGCTGGTTTCCCTGGATGTGGCTTGCTCAGGCTGCACAGCACCTACCGTCACGATCTCAAGATCTACGCCTCAGATGAGGGACGAGTTCAGATGACAGCAGCAGCTTTTGCAAAGGTCCTTTCTCTCTTTTGGGCATCTGTTAGTTCTGCTACGTTAGCCTTAAAATATGCCGGTTCTAAAGGAAAACCTCTGGTGATGAGGAAGGAGCTGTCCTAGGAGCTTCCCCCTCTCTGTTGGGAGGATGATGGTACACTATGCCAACAGCAAATGTATGGGGCGGAACTGGAAATCCACTGTAGCTGCACATGTATGTTACCTTTAGTGTCCTGTCCAGGATTGGGCTCTGACTATAGAAGGAGTTACTTATGGAGTGTTGCTGGTGTTTACTGTTAGAGCACATCAAACCTGTTGCTGAGTATTTTTTTGCCTACAAAATGAGTGTTTCTTGGATGAGTGCCCAGCCAGAGGAGTTATTCCTTGACTGCTGGATTTAAAAGGGGAATGAAATGTCTTTGGTGCAGTGTCGGGTGGGGGCTGGGGAGAAGACAGGTTGATCTGCGATTAAAGCTTGAGCCAAGGGGAATCCTGTGGTGACCTTAGCTGATCTTCAGAGCCTCTGCTGTATCAACATTTTCCAGCAAACTGAGCTGGCTGCTCAATGATTGCCTAGAGAGATCTGGAGCTGCTGCAGGCAGAGCTGGCCTTTTGCCTCAGATAGCTCTAGAAGCATGTCAGAGTCACTGGTGACTGTAGGTGCTGTTGCAGTAAAACTGCTCTTCGAGGGCAGCTGAGATTTCACTCCAGTTGACTGAAGGCTGGCCATGAAACGACCAGAAATATTTGTTGTTTGGTTTGTACATAGCTGAAATCTTGTCCTGTATTGCTTTAGGGTCTGCTGGCCCTGGAAGGAGAGCTGACCCCCATCCTGGTGCAAATGGTGAAAAGTGCCAATATGAACGGACTCCTAGACAGTGACAGTGATTCCCTCAGCAGCTGTCAACACAGAGTGAAGGCACGACTGCATGAAATCATGCAGAAGGATGCTCAGTTCTGTGAAGAGGATTATGAAAAGGTAATGCACCTGTGTGGCTTTATTGCTGCCTGTATCTGGAAGGAGAGTAACATTGCTCCAGTGGTTTGACATGAAGCCTGCTGGTATCTGAAGAGTAGTTTGGTTAGTCTGAGATCAGTTCTGGTCAAAATTACAGGGTATAAACAGAATTTAGGAAGGGAAAGGGCAGGTTAATAGATCCGGCCCTTCTCCAAGTGAAAATCCTGTCTTGCTGCACTGTCCCCTTCAAGAATCGTCATGGTACCTTCCTCTCCCTTTAGAAGTCCCAGTGCATTTTATTCTCATGGGTATGCTGAAAGAACAGTTCTTGTGGTTTACTGCATGCTGCCCAGAACAGTCCCAGTTGCTGTGGGCGGGGAGTACGCCTTGCCAGATTCTAGATCCATGCTCTGTGCATGTGTGAACAGATCTTTTGGTTACAAACTCTTTTGTGGTCCTATCGGTGTCTGCTAACTGCAGAGTAAAGAGCATGGGCTACATCCAGCGCAGCAGCCAATAAAAGCACTATAGCTGCTTCTCCAACAGGTCCCCAAAACTGTATTTTTCCCAGACTCCGAGATCTGATTACCGGACTGAAATCCATTACCATTAAGGAACATATTTATCACCTCAAAGAACTACTTAAAACCTCTGTGAAGCCCTTCTGCTCAAGCACAGAAGCAAAGTGAGACAAGAGTGGACATTGTAGGTGGAGGGAGGTCTGATCTGATACGAGCAGTTGTTTGCTCCCTCCGAGATTGGTCCTGAGGAAGTTTTTAAAACATGCCTAACTACCCCTAGGAATGGGCCAGCTTATTGCGCTCAGCTGGGAGCACTTTCGTACCTAATCAGAAATCAGTACAGTTGGAAAAGGCAGATGTTTTGTGTTCCCAGTTTGTAGAGATGCTAACTAACTGCTGGTGTCTTCTCTCAGCTAGCACCCACAGGCAGTGCTTCTCTGCTCAACTCCATGACATTTATCCAGAACCCAGTAGAGGTCTGTAACCAAGTGTTCACCCTGATTGAGAATCTCACCTCCCAGATACAAAAACGTCTGGAAGACCCAAAATCTGCAGGTGAGCATCAGAACTGGAAAGGATCTGGAGCAGATTCATTTATGGTTACATCTTCAGAGCTCTCGAATACCGCTATGGGTTATGTTTTTCTGTAGCAAAGGAATTCTAAAGTGAAATTCTGTGTGTGCTATTAATGTAGAAGGCTCCTATTCCACTTCTAGCTACTGTTAGAGAGAGCTGTAATGTAGAGGAAGTGATATGTGCATCTTGGGTTTAGAGTGAATGTAAACAGCAGCAGTATAGCCTGGAGAGGTATGCCTGATTTTTTTCAAGCATTTCCCAGAGGGAGGGCTCAAGATGATAAACAGCAAGTTTTTCAGTCATGATTTACTTGTGTCTAGGAACTTTCCTAGTAACAGTGCAGAGGTTTTTAAAAAGGCATCTGTGGGACATTTCACACGACTGTTGGCAGACGTAAGCCAACAGGCAAGCAGTTTCACTTTTCTCAGCTTATTGCTGCAGGTTAAACCTCCATGCAAAGGTCCAGTGGCTTTTCCAGTCTAGGATTCCTGTGGGTGACACAACAATCAGAGCCCTTCTATGCTGGGAGAAGTCAATCATAGCTGTCACTTGAAATGTATGCAGAAGTAGTCAGGATGTGAATGTGGTTTGGTGTTCTCTGCTGTCTAGACCTGCAGCTGTACCACAGTGAGACTTTAGAACTGATGCTGCAACGCTGGAGTAAGCTGGAGCGAGATTTCCGCATGAAGAATGGGCGTTATGATATCAGCAAGATCCCTGATATCTATGACTGCATCAAGTATGATGTACAGCACAACTGTGCGCTGAAACTGGAGGGCACAGCTGAACTCTTCAAACTCTCCAAAGCCCTGGCAGATGTGATCATACCCCAGGTATAGCCTGTCTTGCCTGTGTGATGATGTCTGTGGCGTCAGTTTCTGACCCTTTCCCTGTCTGTTTTTTTCTCGATTCTCTTGCACGATAACTCTCAAGGCAGCGTATCACAGGTATTTCTCGGGTACATCTCTTAGTGTTTGTATAAGGCCAAACCCATTTATGATGTAAGATGTGGCAGGGCTTGCTTCCTGGGTGAGGAATCTGTCAGAATAATGAACAGCTGATGCAGCAGCTTTTCCGTGTTCATCACGGTGCATTATAGCACAACTTCGAGCTGAGCGTGTGTGCTACAGCAACGGCCCGGTCTCCACATATGAGACTGGACAGGGAAGAGAGATTTCTGTGCTAAAGTGAAGGCTTGTTCTGGCAAGTTTGTTACTCTTGTTGGCAAAGTTGGCTTGCTTCTCACAAGTTTGTGCCCATGAACATGGGAGGGGAAAGGAGGGCCACATGCAGCAGATCTCTGTGTTCACCATTGTTCTGTCCCACTTCTGGCAGAAATCCCCCATTTATATGGGATGAGATTCTGCCAGCAAGGTCCAATTGCACTTGTGCCCATGTAGAGCAGAAGTGGTCTAAACTTTTTCACAGTGTTCCTGATGAGATGCAGTTTAGCTATTTCTAGCATAGCGCTTTAAGTTTTATCTTTGCAAATAGCAGTTGTTGCATTAATGCTCATGCCAGGTCAGCGTACAAGTTTGTGTGTTGTGAGAGGAGGTTCCCTGATGGGACTTGCACCTCTCAGCTGTTGCAAGAAGACTGACAGTCACGTCTAGACAGACTGGGATTCTTGGTGGAGTCTCTGTCCTCTGTCACCCTCTGCAATATGGGGGTGTGGGGGGAGGGAAAGAAAGAGAAAAGTACTGAGTGACATTTCCCTTTCTGTCCTTGCTTGACTGTGGTGGTGCTTGTGGACAGGACTATTGGAAGTGCAGCCTTCTTTCATGTGAGGATGTAGCAAAGAACCAGGGCTCAAGGATATCTATGGTTTTGTTCCTGCAGGAATATGGGATTAATAAGGAGGAGAAACTGGAGATTGCTATTGGCTTTTGTCTTCCTCTCATTAAAAAGATCCAGTTGGACCTACAGAGAACCCATGAAGATGAGTCTGTCAACAAACTACATCCCTTGTAAGGATTGGGCTGCATGCTGCTGCTGGTAGGGAGGGCAGCTTTGGAGCAGTGTATGGGAGCCATGCCAGAAGAGTGTGCTGGGCTGGAAGGAGGTGCTGAACATACACTGAAGGACACACCAAAGGGAGGCATGTTGGCACTCCTAGAACCAGAAGGGAAATGGAAAGGCACACTCAGACTGCTGAGCGGGAGCAGGGTACCACAGAAGCTTAAAACCACTCTAGCTAGATGGTGGTGTCTTCATCCCCTGCAAGGGAAAAGTGCTAGTATGATGAGGCTGCCTCTGCCCCACCGTGTGTCTCCATTAGAATGCCATAAAACTTGCTGCTTCTGTGCCCAGCGCTCTCACTGTTTGTGCTGTTTCTGCTGCTCTTTGACAGTTCCTAATGTGGGGTTATCTTTTTCCATTAAGCCTGCAGAAATGCTGCTGTATGATAGATGGCAATTCATTGGCAGGCTCTGAGTAACACGGGGCCAATTTTGGTTTAGGTACTCAAGAGGAGTTCTGTCACCAGGTCGCCACGTTCGGACGCGGCTCTACTTCACCAGTGAGAGCCATGTGCACTCTCTGCTCAGTATCTTCCGCTATGGAGGGCTCCTGGATGTAAGTGTCCCAGCAATGCTCACAGAGTAAGACTCCCTGCTTTTTTTTGGTGGCCCTTTCCATGGTGGACAGTGTATGTTTGTAGGTTGCCCCTCTAGCCAGCTCCCCCAGTAATGACGTGCATCAGTGGCCTCTGGCCAACTCCATCTCTGCTGTGTTTGCATGCTGCGGCTTCCTGCCTTTCTGGCATGTAGGAGGAGTGTTCTTCCTCAGTCCTGACACTGCCTGCCTTGCTTGTACAGAGGCATGTTTTCTCCAAGAGCTGTCCTGCTGGTTTCAGATGAGTAGACGCTTACCCATGTAGGAGAATAGCAGGACGAGGCAACAGGGATGAGAGAATGTCTCTCTTCCTGCTTCCTTCGGTTCTTTGTTTCAGCAGCTTGGCCCTGTTATTTAGTGAATTTCTATCAATTCAAAGTAAAAAAAGTCAGTTTGCTTGCAGAGGAAGTGACTGAGATTGCAAATGCATAGGGGATGCTCTCTACCAGAGGGAGAGATGATGTATTTTTAGGGGACTAACTCATCCAATCCAACCTTCACTTTCTCTCATAACCTGCTTCCTGAAGGAACTGGTATACAGTCCCTGAGAAAAGCTCTGCCTTAGACTCCTCGAGAGTCTCTCTGAGTTATCTTCCCATTTTTAAGTATGGTTTTCTGAAATGCTTTGAGAGTCTGGGCGTGCTTAGCAGGCATGATTTCTGATGTCTGTGGAAGCTCAGTGTATCTGTAGGCAGTGGTCATGCAAGTACCTCTGAACTGCTTACTGAATAAGATGCCACTTTGTTCCCCAACTTGAGTGTCAGAGGATGCTGTTTCCAGCACAGGGATATTGGGCTGCACCTGGGTTTGTTTCTACCGCTAGGGTTCTTTTCATGTCTATCAAGGTGGTGAGATGCTCCACAGCAGCACGAGTGGCACTTCAGGTCCAGCCATTCCCTAGCAGGGCTGGGAAACAGTGAGAGGTGGGCTGCCCTGCCTTGTGGAGTCCAGCGTGGCTCTGTAGACTTTTTCATTCAGTGTCATGTAAAAGCAGCTTCACCTGATCCTTTATTTAGCACAAGTTTGTCCCCTGTGCTTTTTTTGAGATTTCTCTAAAATACTCCGTTCTGCAGGCCACTATTTGACAATGACTATGTCTGGGAACCTGCTGTGGGTTATGCTTTTCTCTGGTCAGCATGGCATAGGGGGCTTGCAGCTGGATGTGCTCAGATGTGCACGTGGATTTTATGGGTAGCTGTAGTGTCCCTCTATGCAGTTGCTCCTTACTGTAAGCACCCTGCCCTCATTGCAAGGTCATCTCTCTTCATGCAAGTTGAGCAAGGTGGTTTCTGCCCTGATGATGTTGTTATCTTGTGGAGAGACAAACTCTCAGACCCATTTCACTGAATGCTGCAAGGTATCTGCTGTTGCTTATTCCATGCGCCTGTTTATGTGTATATATCAGGAAAACAAAGACCAGCAGTGGAAGAGAGCCATGGACTATTTGAGTGCTATCTCAGAGCTGAACTACATGACCCAGATTGTTATCATGCTCTACGAGGACAACAACAAGGTGAGGGGTATAGCTGTAGGATGAAATCCTTCCCGCCACAATGCAAGGCACAGTCCCAGAGAGATTTCAGCTGGGAAGTTTGTAACCTGAGCGTTCTCTGCTTGTGGATAAAGATGGATGGATCATTAACACAACTGCTAGATTTTATTTTTCGGTGGGAGGCAGTGACCCAGTTAATGCTTGTTACTTGTAAGCGGAATGCCACCCTGAGCACTAGTGCCAAACTTAAGTAATCAATACTATCTATTTTAAAGGATTTCCTAAAGCAAAATAGTTTGCTATTTTTTAATATTAATTACAAATGAACAGTAGGAAAAAAATAAATAAAAACAAATTATATTTGGCAGTTTTTTAAACTATATCTAGAAAACATCCAGAAATTCCATATTTGTAAACTTTTTTATTTTAAAAATATACTGATATCTTTGAGAAGTAAAGAGAATCATTTAAAAACCAGTCAAAATGTGGAAGCTGATAGTGATGACCGTGAGAAGGTTTGGCACCAAATTGCACGTACTGAATCCCAGGTCCTGTGACTCAGGTCCTGTACTGCAGGAGGTTGTAGTGGGTAAGGGCAGCATTCTCCTTCCTCCATACGCTACAGAGTTAGAATCTTGTATTCACAGAGCTGATGTGGGGTTTTAATGGTAGAAGTGAACTATTTCCTAGTGCTGTTTGTCAAAAAAAACCCCAAAACCTCTGAACAGAGCTCATAAAAGTAGTGTAAACTTTTGGGTTTGCATTATTGGTGCCAGATACTGCAAAAGCTCTGGCTTTCCTTGGAAAAAAAAAAAGAAAAATATTAGAGACGGTTACTTAAGTCGTGGATTAAACCCTGGTCCAGCAGGGAACCAATCTCTCCCTGCCTCAGTGTGTGCTAGTATTGCAACAGGAGTGGATTGCCAGGGGCTATATTTTAGGTTTATGTGTGTGTATATATATATATGTATATACACACACACACACACATACAGCCCGATTCTGTTTTAGTTCTCTGGTGGCTGTTGTCACAAAATAACAACAACTTGAATGCCTCAGCTTTGTGCTAATAAGGACTGTCCTTTTGGATGAGACAAACCCAGAGCCATTATGTTCGTGGTTTCTTGTTGCTTTTGCTTTCCTTCCAAAAGGATGCGCTTGGGATGCGTGCTGCACCAGCATGGCAGGGTGGCCCAGGTCCAGACCGTAATCTACACTGACAGTGGGACTGATTTGTATGTATTTACTTATTCCCTGTGCCGCATGTTCACAGGACCCATCTTCAGAAGAGCGTTTCCATGTGGAGCTGCATTTCAGCCCTGGCGTGAAAGGCTGTGAGGAAGAGAGGAACGTACCCACGGGGTTTGGCTTTCGACCTGCCTCTGCAGAGGTGAGCCCGCTGCCTGGACGCAGGCTGCCCTGCCTGCTGGGAACGTGGCGAGCGCAGGCCTGTCCACAGCCTTGCTGCTTTACCAGGCTCTGCACCGTGCAGTCTCCAGCAGCAAATTCTCCTCTGACCTTCCCGTTGTGCCTGTGGGCTGTTAGCAGGTTGTGTTCCCTGCCTAACTGCAGGGGTTTGTCAGGGCCGTCTTTGAGAACGCTGGTATCCTCCCAAGCTCAGCAGAGCTGGGAGATCCAGGGCTGGAGTCAGTGCCTGGGCAGTGCTTGCAAAGGCCACGTGCCTGTAGGTGTCAATATTTCCTTACTGCAGAACGAGGACAAGAAAGCAGACCAAGGCAGTCTGGAGGACCTCTCCAAAGAGAAGGTCATCGATGAACCAGACCGTGCACCACAAAGGTCTCCCCAGCCTTCCGAGCCGGTCAGCATTCAGCGAAGATCACCGCTGATCAGGAACAGGAAGACGGGGTCCATGGAGGTAACAATGTCGTGGTTGCTTTTGGTAGTTCTAATGAAGGACTTTTGCTTGGTTTTGGTTTCCTGGCATTCCTTTTCATGTGCCAGAGTTTGAGTTGATTTTGGGAAGGGATCTGCAGAAGTTAAGGAAGGGATTTTTTTTTTAAAGTCAGACCTCCCAAACTTCTCCTTATTGAGAAGGATGGGGGAACACAGGTTAGAGAAACTGATGAGGATGAGCAAGTAAGTATATGCTTGAGAAATGCAAGAATTGTTTGGATTACATGCTCTGTAGAAGCATCAGTGTAACCAGCTATGAGGTTGCATGCATTCTCTTCACCTAGCTGTGGTGACATCTTTGTCTTCCCTTAGGCTCCAGCCTTTGCCTCTCGCAGTTCAGCCCCACATTTCGTGTTCCTGTCTCCCATCTAAGATCTCCTGCAAACTGGAGGTCCCAGCTAACTGGCGGGTTCATTACAGAGTGTTTAAACTGTCCCATTCATTGATCTGCTGAAGTATCAAAGATCAGTTTTACTGTTCTTACTTCTCTCCTTCAGGGCTGTTAACGTGTCATAAGGCTGGCTTCACGGTCAGCAGGTAGCTGGCACCTTCAGAGCGCTCTAGAATTGCCCTTCCTTTTGCAGGGGTTTCACAGGCGTTTTTGCTATCCGTGTTCTGAACCTGTGAAAGCAGTGTTCAGGCTTGAGGTGTTGTTAGCTGGCTTCCGTCTCTGTGTCACTCATGATGATCACATCGTGTGAGTGAGTGCGTGGAGCACTCGGGGGCTCTTTGCAGGCACCTGCTAAGTTAAAGGGGATATACTTTCCTGCTGCTAAAGAAGGAAGTCTATGTCCCAGTGATCCTAGCAAGAGTCTTGGAACACAAGGAGCTCGGTACAGGAGTCCCTTCATACTTTTGAAATCTTCACTGTTCCACAGCCCAACACAAACTTGAAATTAAAACTGAGCATGCACTGTCACAATCTTGGCATATGAGTACATTTATGCTTCTTGAAAATTGTGATTTTTAGGGAAGAGATGTACTTTTCTTTACCTTCAATTAATGTATAATGGCTTTTGAGACCAGCGGGTAACTTAGAGCACGACACTGATTATACTGTCTGTCTTTGCAGGTGCTATCTGAGTCTTCTTCCAAATCAGGAGGTTATCGCCTCTTCAGCACTTACTCCAGGCAGTCTTCTGAGATGAAGCAAAGTGGCTTAGGTACTGTACTTGACCTGTAACCAGCCTGCTCGCCTGTACCTCTGTATTTCTGTGGGCATCTGTCTGTCTCTCCACGTATACATCTGGCTTAAGTTCCTCGTATGTCTCTCTGTGTGTATTATGTCTTCTTTTAGTGTTACTGTGTAGACCACTGTAGAGACTATCTTATTGCATCTCCTTTTGCGTATGATCTTCTCCTTCAGCTTCTAGCAACAGAAGATGCACTTTCCATCCTTTATAGTACGGGAGCAACAGAGCAAGCTGTGCACTTGCAGGTTGGCCTTCTGGTTCCATGTTGCTGTCATTGGTTACACCATTTCTGAAGTTAGGAGGAGGAGATGTTTTTCTGTGAGAACTAGTTTGCGCTCTGTTTGGCAAAACAGCAGTTTATGTGCGAAGCTGCTCGTAACAGTTACAACAGTAACAATAAGACTGTTGTATTTCTACCTTCACTTCATAAAGATCTCTTGTACGGAACAGATCTGTCATCTGCAACGGTGTTTGACAGCTCTCTAATTGAGCTGTTTAGCCATTCTTTGCATGGTAGCCAGCAGAAGAGAATGTTTCGGGGCACTTGGTGTTCTCTGCCTGTCTTTGAGAGTACTATTCCCTGTCACCCTAACCTAAACTATGTCTTAATAGTTGAAATCCTTCCTGAAATATTTTTGCTAAAGCAAGATCTATTTGGAAACTGAAAAGCTGTCTTTGCTGTCATGAGGTTCAAAGATAGCTGTGAAACCCAGATCTTGCAGATGACTAATAAGCACCAGGAGGTGGAAATGCTCGAGTTATGCCCACTTTCTTTTTTAAAACCATTTTGAATTGTGGCATGACCATAAACTTGCAGCAGGTCTGACTCATCAGTTCTTCACTCTGTTGTGTGGACATCCTGCAGCCAAGAGATTTCTGAAAGGCATGGTCATTTCTTTGTCACTTTTGAATGAGCTGCTGCTTTGGAAGCTAATTCTTACCAAGTAAAGGGAATTTTCTTCGTAGTTAGGAAGTATCCCTGGAATCTGCCAGCTATGCTCCCAACCAGTTGGAAAAATCCAAGAAGGAATGGCTGACGCATATTATGTTCGTAAAGGCGCAAGAGCCTTGGCCATAGTGGGTTTTGAATGTGCTATTTCGTGTGGTGCATCTACTTACTTCTGCCTTTCCACAGACCACCCGCAGGAGTAAGTAAGCTGTAAGAGACTTACTTATGCTTGAAGAAACCTGCGATTGTTCTGTGAATACATGGGAATCAATACAAGAATTCCTGAGATGGCACACAGTCAAAGAAGTGCATCTGCTTGGGGAGTTACTGAGTACATCAAATGCTACACGCAAACTGTCTTTACTGTTACCAGAAGGCGTGTGCTCTGGATATTACAGCCTATTAACTGCAGCCTTTCCCAGGCTTCTGAAGAATGTCTGTTTTGGCAATAGGGGAGGCTACTGCTCCCCTGAACACTTGTGCACTGCTATTTTTCCTTGACAACACAATTTGAAATGTGATCCCAGCCGGTTTAATTTCAGATTCTTGCCTGACTTGCCTTGCTGGGAAGCCTGTGCTGGTCACTCTCCCAACTGTGGGAGACAAAACTTTGAGTAGGAATTGACAGACCTGATCTGTGACAGTAGACCTCATCTGGATACTCAATCCAGCCATCATTCTTCTCTACAGAGTCTTGCAGGTGCAGACACAGAAGGGTTGAGCAGGAGGGGCCTGTGGTGCAACCCAGCCTGCACAATCCCTGGTTATCCGGATGTCTGTGTTTCTGTGAATTTCTCCTAACCTGAGAGCTGTTAAGAAGAATGATGCCTCTTTACCTGTAAAAGTCAAGCACTTCAGGGAATCTTCTTCCTTTCCTGCTTGTTTTGTGGAAATCTATTGTCTTCCCCCTTTAGGATCTGAAATGTGCTCTCCCTGTGAGAAATAATACAGAACTCACAGGAGCTTGAACTTTGGCTTTAATACTTGTCTCAGCAGCTCTGCTATGAGGGGGTTCATTCAGCTACTGAATGCTGTTTCTGAGCTTTTCTGAAGTTGACCCTATCTCCTGTTGCCTGGCCTTGTCAGTGGGTGGCTATCGTTATCTCTGGGAGAATGGATTCTGTGGGAGAAGGTCTGTTCAGACACAACCTCTTGTGTTAAGGCATCCAAGAGTTGGGAGCAGGACAGAGCTCCCATAGTAACCCTGCTGCCATACCTGCCAGAACTGTGTCTTTACTTTAGTTTGAAAAATGCCTTGAAATGTCTGTGTGGAAGAGGGGCAGGCTGCAGCTTGCTTTGTCTATGCTTGGAGTATGCCGTGTTTTTCTGGGCAGGAGCAAGTGCATTGTTGTCGATTGCCTGCAATAGCATGTATGCTTCTAGCTTGGGAAGCTTAGGGAAGTTTCAGTGCCTTTCTTTGCTTGCAAGAACACTTTTAAATGGGGTAAAATCACTCCTTGCTGTTTGAGCGGTAGAGGTGGTGTATTGCCGGTGGGCACAAAGCTTTGTGCTGAGACTCCCATAGGGAAATAAGGGATGTCCATTTTTTAAACGTCTGAAACATTGCATGTACATCTGAAAATTAAATACACAGAAAAGATCCAGCACATACAGTCATTTCTAGCAAATGTTGCTACATCTTAAATCCAAATGGCCAGTATACCATTATGTTTTCTAGGATGTGTGTGTATACTTTGGCTACAGTGGTCTCCTAGAGTTCGCTGTAGACAGTTGCTGTCGTCCATAGAGTCATCTTTGTAAGTTCTCTTCTGGCTTAAGGGCGCTAACAAAATGCCTCTGTCCACTGTAGGACAGAAGAAACATGGGGGTATCCGTAGCTTAATGATTAGTGGCACAAGGTTGCTCAAGATAGAAAGTCATAAAAATCTTCTGTTCTATTTTTGTCTGCCAGTAAATAAGTCTGGTTTTTTTTTTTGTCGTTTGTTTGTTTGTTTTTATGCCATGGAATGATGATTAGGAGCATCATCGTGGCTGCTACTTGACAAAATTTTGCTTACATTCTGTCAGACTCTGGTTCATACTGAGTCAGCACTGAGTTTCAGTTTAAGGCATTAGGAGGAAATTTTCTAAGACTTGTGTATCAGTCACCCTGCAGGCGAGAGTTCTTTGTCTGTTTGTCCAAGGGCATGTATGTGCTAACCTGTCCTGTGGAAAGCTACCAGCAGTGTCACAGTGGTGGAGCAGCTTAAGTTCAGTGCATAGGAGAACCCTTTTGGTCATCCCCGACTCTTCCCAGGAGCAGACGTCGTCAGCTTAGACTGAGCCTCCATGTGAGTAGCTCAAAACTCGGGATCTGTGTGTGTTCTCCAAAGAAGCTCTGACTAAAGTAGAGGTTTGCAGAGAAAGAGCTGGGGGCCTGAAAAGCAACGAGTGGACATGAGGCAGCAGGCAGTGTGTCCGTACACCAAGGAGGGCCAACGGCTTGCTTTGCTGGATTAGCAGGAGTACAGCCGTCAGGCTGGGGAATTTGGTTATTCCCCTCTGTTCACCTCTTGTGAGATGTGTCTGAAGTACTGCTGTCCTGTCCAGGGCTCCCTAGTGTGGGTGTAGTGGGTGCAAGCCCATTAAGGGGCAATGAAGGTGGATGGAGGCTGGAGCTCGTGACCTTGGAGGAGAAGCTGAGAGAGCGGGGCTTGTTCAGATCAGACACTGTGGGGAGTGGAGACCCGAATGCTGTTCCAGCCACCTAAATGTGAGGTTACAGAGAAGATGGGGACAGACTGTCTTCAGGTGCATGGTGACAGGACGAGAACCAACAGACACAAGTTGCAGCATGGGAAATTCCAGTTAGCTAAGAAGAACAAATTTTTCAGCATGAACGTGCCAGATCCTGGAACAGAGGCCCAGAGCGGTTGTGAAATCTCCTTTCTAGGAGGTATTCAAAACTTGACTGGACAAACCCTCATGAGCTGATCAAGTTGGCCCTGCTGGGACTTTCAGAAAAGAGGCCTCCTTCCCACCTAAATTGTGCTATGATGCTGTAGTTTAGAACCAAGAGCTGCTTGCAATATAGGCAGGATCTTTTTAACAGTAGTAACAGTTCCAGTTAAATACTGATAGGCAGTATGTCAGGTTTTCTGCCTTGGCAGACAAGGTGGAACAAGAACAACCTGCTTGTTTCTGGAAGCCTTTTGTATGTGGGAGTAACGTTGTTTTTAGCAGTTGGTACTCTCAGTACAGAATTCAGCATCAAGACAGTTTAGCAGAGAATTTATAGCCAACCAGTGGCTTTGTCTGGCCCATAATAGGGTTTTTTCTCGCTCGCAATTGCTTTCCTCAGTCAAAAGAATCCTGTTTCAAATGCCTGATGTTCCCTAAATATCACATAAAGTCAAGTCACTCTACAGAACACTGTGCCTTGGAGAAGCTAGCACCAGCAGTTGCCAAAGCCACTGGTATCAGGTTGCCCTCCTGTGCATGAGACCATCTTGCATGCCCTATTCCTCGCCATAGGGTAAGCAAAGTTCCATGCTGTGTGTGCATCTGGTGCTTTGCGAGGGTGGGTCACGGAACAACTGGAGCTACTCTGGAGTAGCAAGACGTGACCAAGGCGATATGAAATATTGTCTGGGCAGCAGTTTGTGAAAGGAAGCTCTCTGATCACGTTGCTTTCCTTACTGCTTGACAGAGTTACTAGTCCAGATTTGCCGATCAACAGATCAGGCAGTCCTTTCTTCTTCTTGGTATCCTACAGAAAAAGGAGTTTTCCAAAGAGAAGGGGCAGAAGAGCAGAGAAATGTTGCCCTGTGACAGGAACATCAGTGATTTGGCATCCTGGCTTTTCTGACATGAGTTTGTAGATTTGCTGACCAGAGGGTGTCAAAGTGATTCTCCTACATCAGGGCAAGAAAGCCAAATGGAAATAAACCCCTGGATGTAGTTCAGAGCTTTCCTGGTACTGGGTTTTGGGCTACCTGTTGTGTATTTGGCACTACTGAATTTAGAATGGGGAGTACTGCCTCCCTATGCTCCCCAGCATAATTTTTTTTTCCTGAGATTGCCTGCGAAGTGGCCAGTTCATTCCTCATTCTTTGACTAACCCTGCTTTTCTGTAGTTGCATGCAATGGAGATATAATACTAACACCTTCCATGCCTTTCCAGGGTCACAATGCACCGGCCTGTTTAGCACCACTGTGCTGGGAGGCTCCTCCAGTGCCCCCAACCTCCAGGACTACGCACGCAGCCATGGCAAAAAGTTTGCCAGCAGCCTGACATACAAAGACGGTATGTGTGTTCCCTGTGCAGCAGGTGGTTAATTTGTGGACTTTGGTGTCTCAGGATGCTGCTGAGGCAAAGACTTAGACTGCTGAGAAGAATGATAGTTGAATGAGTATATTCCCCGCACCTACAGTAATGCATTTTATCACGTCCCAAGAAAGCGTGATCCTTGCTAGGACAAGACAGGAGCTGACATTGTGCAAGGAGTTTTATGCTGATGTATGGTATTGCTGGGGTCTGATTTTGGTCTGACTTTTTAATACTACTTGCTGTTGTGGAGGAGGATTTGTTGGTCTAGATATTAAATAGGTTTGTCCTGGTATGGAAACCCAGTAGAGCACGTCATCTTGTTTGCCTTGGTGATCTTGCTGATGCTAAATGAAGCTTTTGTGGAGACAGTAATCCTCACCCTACAGAAGATGGAGCCATCCCAAAGCAGAATAATATGCTTGGGGGTGGTTAAGATGGGTACTAGAGTAAGGCTGAGCACACAGAAGAGTCCGGGGTAGCTGTCAGAAAGCAAGTGCAATATGCCTGAAACGCTTGAGGTAAGTGGGATACTTGGATGAAATGCTGAAAAAGGGCTGGAAAGTCTAGTTATTGTGCAGTTCTGCAGAAACCGCCTTGAAGTTCAGCAAGACAATCTGGTAAAATGTATTTGGGTCATTAGTACAACTGTCGCCCGAGGCACATGGGTGGAGGGGTGTTGCCAGCTGCAGACTGATCTGCAGTTAGTACTAGTGTATTATGCATTGAGAAGCAGAGAGCGTGTTGCTGCTTTCAAGGAAATTGGAGCACAGGGAAAGACTGAGGTATCCTGGAGGAGGGATGTAATGCACAAGTGCGAGTGTCTGTTGCAATCCCCGTAAGAGAGGCACTCGGACTCTGTGAGTGCCGGTTAACACCATTGGTTGGGATGCTGAGTTGAGCCTCATTGAACAAACTGCTCCGTGGGGAGGATCTGCGCAGCGTGCTGTGCCTTGGTTGGAAATCCACCTGATGTTGCACAACTTGGGCTTCCCAGCATCTGAGTGGATATGAGATTATCTGTCCTCCCTTTTTGCTTTTTGTGTTAGTTCAAACAAATGATATTTTAATCCGTACTTTATAGAGTCTGAGTACCTTTCTTACTGGGATCGTGACGAACACTAGCACTGGTGGATTACAAGGTGGGGAGATGATTAAGGCAGTAATTTGAGGCCTCTGGGGGAAACAAGAGGTTGGTTCATTTGGATTTTTGTCCAGTTTAGAGGCAAGGAAAATGGCCTAGCAAATCAGAGTGGAAAGGTGCTATCCAGTCCTCAGACCTCCTGGAACCTCGTGAATGCTGTTGTACTGAGACCATTACACATACTGGCTTGCTGCACTGCTTTCACTGTGTAAGAGAAAGCTGTGTTGCTTCTCACCTCCTCAGGGAGCTTGCTAGCACACAGCAGGCTGTGAGTGATAGAGACAGGGAGGGTGAACTGGCAGGGTTTAAAACCCTCCTGTACCAGTCTGAGCTGCTCAAGGCAGCAAGTGCTGGCTACTAATAGGTCCCAGAATAAGCCCGTGGTGTTTGGCATGAGACCGGGGTATGAATACCAGGAGAGCCACTGAAAAGGCCAGCAAGGGCTCTGGCTGCTTTTCTTCCATAACCCTGCAAGCAGCATGAATCCAGTGCAGGACTAATTCTCGGGGAAAAGCATCAAAGACTGCTTTTGCTCTGTACCCAGCCGTGAACAGAACAGGTTCTGCCCAGTCCTGGTGCTGTGCTGCCTTCCTCTGTGGGCTGTGTAGCAAGAGTGTGCCTGCAGCTGGCTACTTGCAGTCAAGGTCCAGAGCAGAGTCCTGCTGCATTAGCCTAAATTCAGTGACAAGGTCTCTGCATGCTGAGACACAGTTGTACCATCAAGGACTTAAAAGGCAGACTTATTTAAGTAGTGTATGACTAACATAGCCCAGAATTATTCATCTTGACGTTACACTTTTTTTTTTCATGTTTCTTAGTGTGCTATGGCACCCTGTGCTGCCAGCGCCTTGCTGCAATAAGAGCAATTCTGAGGAAGAAGCGGGGGGCTTAGGAAACCAAGTAGGAGGCAGAAGGGTGTTTAGCTTCTGGGGAAGGTAGTTTGGAATGTGAAATAAGCCCTTGATCTGCATGTTCCTGCTTGAATGAGCAGCAATGAAATGCTGAACAGTGACATTTAAACCAAACATCACTAGAACTGAATACAGTAAGTGACACAGCAGCTACAGCGGACTCTTGGAGTACTTTTGTATCAAGGTCTTTTTCATGGTCATGAGGCTAATAACGTTTAAAAGCCTTCAGATTCTGGAGCACATCTTTGCACGAACTCTGGAATTTTTTCATGGCTGTAATGCTTCAAGGTGTGGTGCATGGCTTACAGCACTTCATGAAAGAGTTGCTCAAGTGAAGTTATAACGGCCCTTGTTTCTGAAGTCTTTTTTGCTTGGGTCTGGAAGAGGGCTAAGGAGCACTTCAGTGGGAAGTTGTGTTCCAACCGCAGGTTGAGGGAAGGTCCGCTGATGGTTGTGATTTGAAATTGGCCTGTGTGAAGCCAGGGATCCAGTAAGCTGTGTTGCAGTACCAGTTAAATTGATGTGCTGTAAAGGCAAGGGGAAGATGTGGGGTGGAATGGAGGTGGGTACCAGCTGGCTGACTGCAGCTCCAGGACTTGGACAGCATTTGTAGGGAAGATTGTCATATTATATTTGTTGAGTTTAAAGGAAGAAAAACAATTTTTAGGGCTGTTATGGTGGTGAAGGAAATTGCAGCAAGTTTGAGAGCTGTTTTAAATATATTATTTGGCTAAGTCAGTGGATGTAGCTAGAGAAGCACAGCGGGGGTGTGGAGCACAAATTGATACGTGTATCTCCTAACCCTGGTGTAGAGGGATAGGGGTACACACCCTATGGGCTAGGTAGAACAGACACATGAAACATGAAAGAGAAATAAAAGCATTTTCTAATATTTCCTAAGAGTTGCTAAAGAGCAGCAAAAGGTATGATTGGCTGGGTTCTCACATCAGATCGTACGTACAGCTGGCCTATGTCAGACCATTCTTTCCCATGATAGCTGAGGAATTTCCAGAGTGGGAATAAACGGAAGTTTTCAGCCCTTTTTTTTTTTTTTTTTTTTTGTGCATATGGAGACTAATCCATGTCTTTTAAAGCTCATCTGTTTGCATCCCATCAGATGCATAGAATCTGTCCTTGCACTGTCTTCCCATGTGTGATTTCTATGGGAGAGCTTGGCCTGGCCTGGGGTGTGGACAGGAGAAGCCCGAGGACCACACTGACATGTGTATCCCAAAACCTCTTCTGTACTGAAATGCTTTGAGCAACAGAACTGTAGAGGCACGTCTTCATGGGTCTTCTGTTTGTTCCCTCATTAGTTAGTTGATTTATCTTTAGACTCATAAATAGCTCTGTTTGGCTTGCGTTAAGAGGATGTTTGGAGCTGCATTTACCTATGCCAGAGCTCTTCAGTTCCTCTGCAGTACAGTCGTTTTCCTCCTTGGGCAGAGGAGGAATCCTGAGAACTGTCCTCCTGCTGCTTGCTTGGCCGTGTGGTCCTGTGCCTGTGAGCATGGCCTGACTGCATCTTGCACTGGACTGAGCCAGGGTTGCTCTCAGGATGGCTGGAGGTGTGGTGGGAAGGTATGAGATGCTGTCTGTGACTGACAGAGTGTGGCTGAGGTCTTTGCAGTGTCAGGGGAGACCCTGGCAGGGCAGTGCAAGGGAAGTGGGGAGCCGACAGGGTGCGAGGAAGCCAAGAGGCTCAGTCAGACCCGCAGGTAGAGAGTGCCCAGAGTGCTACAGCAGGGAGCATGTGTTACCGGGGTCAAGAAGAAAGTGAACCTGAAAGGGTAGTTGCAAGCAAAGGAAGGTCAGGGGATCCTTAGAAGCAGGCTATTAACTGAGATGATCTGTTTTTATTTCCTCAGAGCTCTTGTCTATGCCAGCCGTAAAACGATTTTCTGTGTCGTTTGCAAAGCATCCGACTAATGGTACGTTTGCTTCCTTGATTTGACGTTCCCTCACACTTCTAACCCCATGCTCACATTCAGTTCTCTCTGCACATGTTCTCCTCTCAGCCTTCCTGTGTTTTTTTTGTGTCTGTGTATCTGGTGTCCAAACACGCTTCACCTTCCCTCATTGTCTCTTTGTGACTAACGTGTTCATTCATCCTCTGTTACTGCTCAGTGGTTCCTCTGCTGTCCCCTAAGGCATTTGTGTCCCAGGTGAAAAAGCAAGAGCAGCGGCTCTGTGAATGGACTCCTAAAGCAGCCTTTGATTCCACTGCTGACACTAAGGCCTTCTTTCATACTCCTTTTC